GAGCAAAGATCACTTGTGAGGGGAGCAAAGGTCACTTGTGAGGGGAGCAAAGGTCACTTGTGAGGGGAGCAAAGGTCACTTGTGAGAGTGGAAGGCTTCAGATCAATGCCCCCACTGCCCAGTCTATGATCAGGCCTGCCGCTGGATCAGAGCCTGATCACCCATGCTGTTACTGCTGGCTGCAAGCAGTACAAGCCACAGTCTGGCTAGTCAGAAACTGACTTTGAAAATCTATGTCTCACATTCTGGGTTACCTGGCACTTGGAGACACTTATCATTTCCTCTTATTATAATGGAAGCTTAGGCCTGATTTAGAATGAAAACTTTTCTGCTGAGGGAAGGCTTGTTATGGGGTGTAGGCTGTCATGAGGAAAGTATAAGCCCACGTTGTGAGGGCACAGGTCAATGCTGTGAGAGCACAGGCCCATGCTGGGTGGGGCACAGGCCAGTGTTGCATGCGGCACGTGCCCGTACCCCATGCAACATGGGACAGTATTGTGTGGGGTTTGGGCCTGTGTTGCATGGGGGCACAGCCCCATGTTGCAATGGCACAGGCCCTTGCCATGTGAGCACAGGCCCGTTTTGTGTGAGCACTTGCCTGTCGTGCGAGTACAGGCCTATGTTATGTGGACACAAGTGCTGTGAGAGCAAGCCTACCCACTTGAAGGGCATTCCAGGGGTCAACGCCCCTGCGAGACTTCACTGTGGATCAGGGCCTGATCAACCAGGCTTGTTACTGCCAACTGCACACAATCCAACACATGAACCCCAGCCCAACTAGTCAAGTACAGACTTTAGATATTTCTCCAGCTCCCTCCTGAAAAACATAAAGAAGGAACACTGCAGCAGGCCTACTGGTCCATGTGTGGCAGGTCCAAGTCACCTACTGGCTTATGCCACTGACCCAACTTAGTCAGGTCCAGGTCACATCCACTTAAGGAGCACGACATCAGACCTACTAGCACAAGCTAGTCAGATCCAACTCACACCCACTCGTGTATTTATTTATTTTTAAATCTACACGACGCTTTAGCTTCTATGACGGTACTCGGGAGTTTGTTCCACTCATCCACAACTCTATTACCAAACCAGTGCTTTCCTATATCCTTCCTGAATCTTGAAACCATTGCTGCGAGTCCTGTCTTAGCTAGATATTTTTAGCATGCTATTTACATCCCCTTTATTTACTTCCTCCTAATTCTACACCTTTCTATAGAGTGCAGATTCAGGACCATCAGCCTATCCTCATAGGGAAGATTTGATACACGGGATCAACTTTGTCATCCTCCTTTGTACATTTTCCAATGCATTTATATCCATTCTGTAATATGGTGACCAGAACTGTGCAGTATAATCTAAATGAGGCCTAACCAAAGATATACAGAGCTGAAGAACCTGAGGACTTCTAATATTTATGCTTCTTGATATGAAACCATGGCTTCTGTTCACTCTATTGTGAACACCTATGTGCTGTTGTCTTGGTTTCAGATTACTGCTAACCAGAACTCCTAAATCCTTTTTGCAATCAGTAATATTAATTTAGTTTATGTTTGGCATGGTTATTTTCCTGTCCAACATTTAGAACTTTGCATTTGTCTATATTAAACTGCATCTGCATCCCTCATGTTGTGAAGACAGGCCAATGTTGTGAGGACAAGCTAATCCTGAGGACATAGGCCTATACTGTGAGGCCAGCACAAGCTAATGTTGTGAGAAGGCCATAAGCCAATGATGTGAGGAGGACACAAGCTAATGTTGTGAGGAGGGCACAAGCCTATGCTCTGTGAGCACAAGCCTATGTTGTGAGGGCACAAGTCTATGTTGTGAGGGCACAAGTCTATGTTGTGAGGGCAATGGCCTATGTTGTGAGGGCAATGGCCTATGTTGTGAGGGCAATGGCCTATGTTGTGAGGGCAATGGCCTTAATGTAGTTGTGAGGGCAATGGCCTATGTTGTGAGGACAATGGCCTATGTTGTGAGGACAATGGCCTATGTTGTGAGGACAATGGCCTATGTTGTGAGGACAATGGCCTATGTTGTGAGGACAATGGCCTATGTTGTGAGGACAATGGCCTATGTTGTGAGGACAATGGCCTATGTTGTGAGGACAATGGCCTATGTTGTGAGGACAATGGCCTATGTTGTAAGGACAATGGCCTATTTGTGAGTGGTGTATGCCTGGTATGAGTGGGCAGCAAGTGGTATAAGCCTGGTATGAGCAGGCAGCGAGTGTAGGCCCAGTGTGAGCAGGAAGAGAGTGGTGTAGGCCTGGTGTGAGCAGGCAAGTGTAAGCCTGGTTTGAGCAGGCAAATGGTGTAGGTCTGGTGTTAGCAGGAAGCGAGTGGTGTAGGCCTGGTGTGAGCAGGAAGTGAGTGGTGTAGACCTGGTGTGAGCAGGCAGCAAGTGGTGTAGGCCTGGTGTGAGCATGCAAAGGGTGTAGGCCTGGTGTGATCAGGCTGAGTGGTGTAGGCCTGGTGTTAGGTGGTGAGTGATGTAGGCCTGGTGTGAGCAAGTAGTGAGTGGTGTAGGCCTATGTGAGCATGCGTGGTGTGTAGGCCTGGTGTAGGTGGTGAGTGATGTAGGCCTGGTGTGAGCAAGTGAGTGAGTGTGAGTAAGGCCTAGTGATGAGCATGCAGTGGGTGTAGGCCTAGTGGTGATGCATTGAGTGGGTGTGAGGCTGGTGGGAGTGTAGGCTTGAGTGGAGTGTAGGCTGGTGAGATGAGGGGGCTGGCATGGTCATGAAGGTGGTGTAGTCCTGAGTGATGTGCATTGGGTGTAGGCCTGGGTGAGCGGCAGTGGTGGTGTAGCCCTGAGTGTGAGCAGGCAAGTGGTAAGGCCTGGTGTCACAGAGTGGCAGTGTAGGTCTGGTCTGAGTAAGTAATGAGTGGTGTAATCCTGGTGTGATCAGGCTGGAGTGTAGGCCTGGCGTTAGCAGGCACTGAGTGGTATACCCCTGGTGTGAGCAGGCAACGAGTGGTATAGGTCTGGTGTCATCAAACTGAGTGGTATAGGTGTGGTGTGAGCAAGTAGTGAGTGGTGTAGGCCTGGTGTCATCAGGCTGCAAGTGGTGTAGGCCTGATGTCAACAGGCATTGAGTGGTGTAGGCCTGGTGTGATCAGGCTGTGAGTGGTGTAGGCCTGATGTCAACAGGCATTGAGTGGTGTAGGCCTGGTGTGAGCAAGCAGTGAGTGCAGGCCTGGTGTGAGCAAGCACTAAGTGTAGGCCTGGTGTGATCAGCTGGAGTGGTGTAGGCCTGGTGTGACGGTGCAGTGGCGTGTAGGCCTGGTGTGAGCTGCAGTGGGTGTAGGCCTAGTGTGATCAGCTGAGTGGCATAGGCCTGGTGTGAGCAGGCATGAGTGGTGTAGCCTGGTGAGAGTGCAGTCATCGTGAGTGATGTATGGCCATGGCGCGAGAGTGTGCATGTGGGTGTAGGCCTGGTGTGAGCGTGCAGTGGGCAGTGTAGGCCTGGTGTGAGCGTGATGCAGTGGCATATGGCATGGTTGTGAGCTGCAGTGTGGCAGTGCAAGCTTGGTTGTGAGCGTGCAGTGGGGTGGTGGTGAGCGTTGCATGGGGCGTGTAGGCCTGGTGAGCATGCAGTGGGCAGTGTAGCCTAGTGAAACATGCACTGGGCAGTGTAGGCCTAGTGAGCATGCAATGGGCAGTGTAGGCTAGTGTGAGCTGGAGTGTATGCCTGGTTAAGCATGCAATGGTATGGTGTAGGCCTGTGTGAGCATGCAATGGTTGTGTAGGTGTGAGCTGCATGGGGTGTGAGCTGGTAGATGCATGTAAGCGTGGTGTAGGCCTGGTGTGCAGTGGCAGTGGGTGTAGACCTAGTGTAAACATGCACTGGGTAGTGTAGGCCGTGTCAGCATGCAATGGGTAGTGTAGGCCTAGTGTAAGCATGCAATGGGTAGTGTAGGCCTAGTGTAAGCATGCAATGGGTAGTGTAGGGCTAGTGTAAGCATGCAATGGGTAGTGTAGGCCTGATGTGAGATTGCAGTGTAGGCGTGGTGTGTGCAGTGGCAGTGGGTGTAGGCCTAGTGTAAGCATGCACTGGGTAGTGTAGGCCTAGTGTCAGCATGCACTGGGTAGTGTAGGCCTAGTGTCAGCATGCAATGGGTAGTGTAGGCCTAGTGTAAGCAAGCAATGGGTAGTGCAGGACTGATGTGAGCGTGGAGTGTAGGCCTGGTGTGAGCGTTCAGTGGGTGTAGACCTGGTGTGAGCATGCAGTGGGTGTAGGCCTGATGTGAGCGTGCAGTGGATGTAGGCCTAGTGAGCATGCAATGGGTAGTGTAGGCCTGGTGTGAGCGTGGAGTGTAGGCCTGGTGTGAGCGTGGAGTGTAGGCCTGGCGTGAGCGTGTAATGGGTGTAGACTTGGTGTGAGTGTGCAGCGGTTGTAGACCTGGTTTGAGCGTGCAGCGGGTGTAGACCTAGTGTGAGCGTGCAGTGGGTGTACACCTGGTGTGAGCATCTAGTGGGTGTAGGCCTGGTGTGAGCATAGTGGGTGTAGGCCTGGTGTGAGCATAGTGGGTGGTGTAGGCCTGGTGTGAGCATAGTGGGTGGTGTAGGCCTGGTGTGAGCATGCAGTGGGTGTAGACCAGGTGTGAGCGTGCAATGTAGACCTGGTGTGAGCGTGCAGTGGGTGTAGGGCTGGTGTGAGCACAGTGGGTGGTGTAAGCCTGGTGTGAGCGTAGCCTAGGCCTAGTGAGCGTAGCCCAGGTCTAGGACTGTCAGTAGGAGAGCCAGTTAAGAATGTTACGCCCACCACTCCACATCATCCATGTTAACATCCCACACATCTATACCATCCTCGCGTTGCCCATGATTCACCCTTGGCATCTAATGGGAGCCACGGGGGAGCCACGGGGGGAGCCACAATGACCGCGATGGAAACTCATCACAATACAAAAATAAATCACCAATCATTGCATAACACTTTCCTCACACCTGGAGATTTCGGTACCAGTTTGTCGGGAGATGGAAGTGGGAGGGCGTCTTACCGATGGCAGGGAATGTCACGGTGCCCATGGCAGGTGCGGAGGGTGGCACTGGTGTGAGCGCCGCCGCCCTCTTGACATGCAAGACGCTCAGCCCGCCACCCTCCTTCAAACACCCAAGATGGCCGACACAACCCAAAACATTCACCCACTACCCTCCAACAACACCACAATTTACCGCCATTCCACACACTGCTAGTCACGATTCACTGCTCATTCGACGCTACGTGCTTTCTCGTCGACGCTCCGACACATTGTGGTAGTCAACACGATGAATAACAGCAGAAAATGCACGAAACTTACGCAAGCTTCGTGCTCCTCTCGGCCGTGTTCTTGGCAGCTTGTCTCCTACAGCCTCAGCGCCGGCACGATGGTTCTTTCACCACCACTACCACCACCACCAACTAGTATTATTATTCTCACCTTTTTTACACCCTTCCCACCTGCTTATACACCTACTTCTCGTAACATTTTAACAGTTACTGTGGCTGTGACTGATGGTATAGGCCGACAAAGTTGAAGTATTTAGGGTGGTGTTGATGATATGGTAGATGTGTCGTTGTTGCATGGAGAGCGTAATGCGGGCATGAGAGTTGTAGGTCCCGTGTCTTCATGAATAATTAATTATCCTTACTATATATTTACCCTTATACACTAACTACTTCATCAGCCTTATATAAGAAAATAAAACACAGTACATGGAAGCGAGTTCTATGGGGGAAGGCATCAATGAAAGCAGCACATACGGACCTTGAATATAAATTAGATGGTTAAAAAAGCGCAGACGTTCTTCGACCGGCAAAATCTTGTCCATGAAGTAGATTCTCACTTCTTGCACTCACTCCCCATCCACCATATGACCATTACCACCTTCATATTACCCCCTCTTCATAGGCCTAAACTCCCACCACTCAACATAACTGCAAGCTATGTTGTAATCCTCATGTACAGCAGAAATACAGATGTATTTCCACAATTACAGTAAAAAGTCATTTAGAAAAAAAGGAATGAGAGAGGGGCAGGATAGCTAGTTTTTGCAAGATGTTCCCCGTTAGCTTGGCCTAGTGGTCTTGCCACACGCGTGGCAGCCCTTAACCCTCTCTCTTGCAATGCCTTCACTAACCCTCTCCCTCATTCACACTCCCTCAATATACCTTACCCACGCACATACACACATTATTCTAACAAATACATCAAGAACAGTCTGGAATTAAGGGCGCATCAAGCGTATATGAAGGACGAAGAAAGCTATGCTGGGTTCTGCATGATATAGCAGACAGAGCTGGCCTAACACTCTTCATACAGGGTGGTGCATAAGTATCCCTGTGAAAACATCGCGTTATAGTTACATTAAAACCCCTTCAAAAAACATTTCCGTGCACGTCACGGGAGAAGATTCATTTGCTATGTTACATGGCGAATCTGGGTATATTTCAAGCAGGTAATCGCCAATAAAGGGAGAAATAATGGGGTTGCGGTGTGGTGTGAAGGCCCTAGAGAGTGTCCTGGGGTGGTTGTATTGGTGCTGGGAGCCGAGGTGGCCCACCACTACCACAAAAACTGCTACCTCCAGCAGAATGCAAGACAGGGTGGGCGTGAGGCCGCCCATAACACTCCCCACCCACCCTCTATGCCGCGCCCACCTCCCCTGCTGCTCACCCACCCCTGGCCTGTCCTGTACACCACCCCAGGTCTGTGTCCTACACTCTACACCCCGGACCTGTGTCCTGTACTCCATCCCAGGTCTGTCTTGTACTCCATCCCATATGTGTCCTGTACTCCATCCCATGCCTGTGTCCTATACTCCATCCCAGTTCTATGTCTTGTACTCCACCCCAGGTCTGTGTCCTGTACTCCACCCGAGGCCTGTGTCCTGTACTCAACCCCAGGTCTGTGTCCTGTACTCCACCCGAGGCCTATGTCCTGTACTCCACCCCAGGTCTGTGTCCTGTACTCCACCCCAGGCCTGTGTCCTGTACTCCACCCCAGGCCTGTGTCCTATACTCTACACCCCGGACATGCTTCCTGTACTCCACACCACACCAGGCCTGTGTCCTGTACTCTACAGCACCCTAGGTCTGTGTCCTGTACTCCACACCACCCCAGGCCTGTGTTCTACACTCTACACCACCCCAGGCCTGTGTCCTACACTTTACACCACCCCAGGCCTGTGTTCTACACTTTACACCACCCCAGGCCTGTGTCCTACACTTTACACCACCCCAGGCCTGTGTCCTACACTCTACACCCCGGACATGCGTCCTGTACTCAACACCATCCCAGGCCTGTGTCCTACACTCTACACCCCGGACATGCGTCCTGTACTCCACACCACCCCATGCCTGTGTCCTACACTCTACACCCCAGACATGCGTCCTATACTCCACACCACCCCAGGCCTGTGTCCTACACTCTACACTCCAGACATGCGTCCTGTACTCCACACCACACCAGGCCTGTGTCCTACACTCAATATCATTGTTGCCTGGACATGACATATGGCTGGGGTAGGGTGGGTAAGGTACCCTCCTAACTCTCATGCCCTATCAAGGCTTCCCTAGCCCGGCTTTCCCACCAGGCTTACCTAACAAGGCTTTCCTAGCAAAGTTTATCTGATAAGGTTTCCTATCAAAGCTTCTCAATCAAGGTTTTTCTAGCGAAGTTTCCTACAAAGGTTTCTTTTAACAAGGCTTCCCAAGCAAGGCTTCCCTTGTATCATTTCCCTAGCCAAGCTACCCCAACTAGGCTTCCCTAGCAAGGCTTCTCTAGCCAGGCTACCCTAGCTATGCTTCTCTAGCCAGGCTACCCCAGCTAGGGTTCCCTAGCAAGAGCTCTCTAGCCAGGCTACCCCAGCTAGGGTTCCCTAGCAAGAGTTCTCTAGCCAGGCTACCCCAGCTAGGGTTCCCTAGCAAGAGCTCTCTAGCCAGGCTACCCCAGCTCCGGTTCCCTAGCAAGACTTCCTTAGCTAGGCTTCCCTAGCAGTTGGTAGAGTACTTGAGTAGTAGGAATACTTGGGAGTCATGATATCACAGGATCTCACCTTCAAGGATCACAATAGTGTCACTATCAGTTCTACGAGGTAAATGATAGGATGAATATTGAAAATTTTCAAAACAAGGGATGCCATGCCAATGATGATCTTTAAGTCACTTATTTTCTTTAGGCTGGAATATTGCTGCACACTAACATCTCCATTCAAGGCAGGTGGAACTACAGATATAGTGAATGTACTGAGAACCCTTTGATATACCTTTGAAGAGTTTCGAGAGTTTATCTACTCCCTGAGCCCTGCCATGGGCCAGGTTCGTCTTCTAATAGCATCTATTATAACCCAATAAGGCCAGAGTGTCATCGGGGACTCTCTATCTTATTTCCATTATGATCTTTAACCTTCTTCCCCAGGATGCCACCCAAACCAGTCACTTGACACCCAGGTACCTACTTACTGTCCTTGACAAGAGGAATTCAAGCTACCCTTCGATTTCTTTACTCAAATCTCATCATCTACTACCGCTCAGGCGCTGTTTTGGCCACTACCAGATTAGCGAAGTCCTGTATTTTGCCTACAGTCAGTTCTGGAGGGGTCACCGCCCCCGTGGTCCGTTCCCAAGCCATGCCCCCTGGTTGGAATATAATATAACTACTGCTGTCACATGCTTGCTGTTGTGTCTAATATGATTTGATATATCAGTCAGCATAGCTAACATTCTTAGAGGATGTGCGTTCAGTCAAAACAGAAGTTTTGATGTTTTTATTTCCATCATAAAGATGTTTAAAATGTTGTAAAACACTGCAAAGCAATTTCCATTACTTCTGTTGTATATCCGCAACTTGGTAATATTCAGATTGCTTGTAAAGTTCGTGTTAAGTTTACGATCATAAACTGGTGACGGTATTTTTAAAGTAAGCCATGCAAATATTCACCGATATTTACTCTTCGTTATAATAATAATAATAATAATAATAATAATAATAATATTTATTATTAATATTATTATTATTAATATTATTATTATTATTATTATTATTATTATTATTATTATTATTATTATTATTATTATTATTATTATACGTATAGGGGTGGTAAGGCATTCAGGCCCTACTCAAGGAATTGGAGCACTGAGCCAATTCCTTAGATCAAGAGCTCCTCACCAGCAAAAGATGCTTTTGATACTAATAAAAGACTCTTGATCCACGGAACTGGAGGTACCCTCCCCTTCCCTGGATCTAAACCCGATTACCTTCCATTTCTCAGACATCGTATGACCAGAGTAAATATATATATATATATATATATATATATATATATATATATATATATATATATATATATATATATAATATATATTATATATATATATTATAAATTCCGTCGCCGAATATGTAAAACTGGTCAATTAGCAAGAACTCATTTAAAATTAAGTCCTTTCTGAAATTTTCTCTTATACGTTTAAAGATATATTTTGTTCATTTAAAGTTCGTGTAAAAATTTTTAATTTTGCGCCAAAAGAATCTTAGAAAACTTACCTAACCTTATTATAACAAGAGCAATTTATTTAGCCTAACCCAACTAAATATATTTTAAATACGTTTACAATAATTTAGTACTAAACAAACACAATCAAATTTACTTTTTTCCGTTAGGTTCAGAATGATTTTGGCGATATTATTGCATACACAAATTTTCACTTGTCCTATATGGCAAGATGAGAGTTCCTATTTAAGCCAAGATGGCAAGTTCTGCCTATTCGGCACGACATATATATATATATATATATATATATATATATATATATATATAATATATATATATATATATATATATATATATATATAATATATATATATATAATATATATATATATGTCGTGCCGAATAGGCAGAACTTGCGATCTTGGCTTAAATAGCAACGCTCATCTTGCCATATAGGACAAGCAAAAATTTGTGTATGCAATAACTTCGCCAAAATCTTCGGGACCAACTGTCCCCAGGCCTAGCCACAAGCTAGGCCTCTCTGGTCTGCCATCCCCCCCCCAAGGGGGCAAATGGAATGACAGTCTTGTGAGCTGTAAGCTCGGGCTCAGGCACCTACCCTACCCTAGAAGGTTAGGCATGGTACACTAACCTCTCTATGAA